CCTAGTTTCCCCGCCCCATCAGCACACCCCAGTCCCGCAAACCCTCCCCTCCCTCCCCCACGCAGACAGTAGCTAGTCGCACGCGCGATGGCGATAGACAAGCGAGAGCGAATCCATCCAGACACATGACTAAATCCCCGACCCTTCCACCCCTCCTTCTCCAACAGCGCATGAGCCATGTGGGCGATGAACACGTTGGCATCGTGTCCCCACACACCGTCACACGTCACCACCAGAGGGCAGAAGGTCACGCGGGAGTCGCAGACGGCCGAGTGGTATTTCTTCTTCTTGGCCGGACCCTTCGTCGTGAAATGGGACATTTCCCATACATGTATCGATTTTCTCATTTACGCAGGGTCCCATTTATCCGAAACCCACAGTACATGGACCAAGAACTTTCAAGGATAACAGCCGACGAAGAGATGGAATACATCGTGGCTGCAGCCAAAATGGGCTTCGAATATACGACCATTGACAACGGTTATCGACCGCCGGTTGAAACCGCGAGAAAGTCAACGAACAATGGTATCTCTGGGCGCGAACTTCTTAAAAGATGCATCAACTGACTGTTAACGCACGAAACGCGCCAGTTTGTGGTGGATGGGATGTTTCTCCTTTGTCCGGTCATGCAGCTGGTTGAGCTTGGTCTTTCTTGGGTGCCTTTTCGCAGGTCCCTCAGTGCCGCATCGACTGTCTGCTGCTTCTGGCGGTTAACGAAAGATATCTCGCCGACTATCGTGCAGTGGACTTGGTAGTGGATATGCTTGCAAGACTCCTCTCTGCAAATGCGGTCACCATCGACTGTCTGCTGCTTCCCCGCTTGGCGCCGCAGCCTCTTCTCGCCACTCTCGGAGTCATCGAAGACGTGTAGGAGCGAATCGACTGTCGAGCCTGTACGGTGAGTGCCGCCAGACACAGCCAATGTCTGCATTGCAGTTCAGCAGAACAAGCCTTCACGGCTTTCATGACGGTCTTGCCGGTGCCGTCCCCGCGGGTCAGGCACATGCGCAATGGCGCGATGTATTTGTTGTCCCTCAGGTCTTTGTAGTGGTTCAGCAACTGGCTGCAGATGATTTGGAACGCCCGCATCTGCTCTTCGTTCAATCGGTAACGGCTCGCCCACTCGGAGAAGGTCTTGTCGTCGACCGTCTCAGGCGGCTTGAATGCGGACACCGGCTGCACCAGCAGTCGAGTGAGGCTGGCAGCATCCATCGAGTGACCACCGTGTGTGAAGAGATTCGACTCGAAGAGAAGCTACTCAGGAGGCTTGCTTCATCTGACGTGCCGCGACTGTGGCCGATTTCACTTAGCTTGTTGCTTTGCTCGTGCAGGTCATCATTGTTGTTGCGTTGCTCGTGCAGGTCATCGTTGGGCTGATCCTGGCGGCTCACATTTGATTGACAAGCCGATTGACAGTCATCGACGGCAGTCTTCGATAGCCCCTTCAACAGGCATATCCAATTTGTATCCAGCGATGCATTGATATACTTCGCGAAGCACGTCTTGAACACGGGCGCAGCAGGAGCGGCAACATGAGGGGTGCAGCCACTCTGAGTACCTGCATGTTATCGCCACGTCTGTCTTCGAGATCTGCATGTCTTTCAAGCTCCCGCCATTGTTGTCTGCATCTTTTTTTGAGACTCTCGCCATTGTTGCATGCGTCGGTGTGCTTCTCGCAAACCCTCGTGCTGTGCACGTCTCTGTGACGAATAATTGAACCACCAATTCGCACGCTTTTCGACCCCCGCCCAATTCGCGGCCCGGGGTGCCCACGCAGTGGGTGCCCCTTACTCGGAATTCTCAATATAGCGAATTCCGGTTGAAATGCAGTAACGTTTAACTGTTCCGACATCACGAACACGTCCATCCTTTGCCTGTGTCCAGGCTGGAAAAAATGGCAGCCTAAATCAACTATCAATGAGGTCGCAGCCTTCGCACGACAGAATGGGATGGACGTGTTGGTCTGGAGCAACAGGGAAGGCTATTGATGACGAAAGCAATAATTACGAGAGTCTTAAACACTTTCTTGACTACGTGAAGGAGAGCGGGGCAGCCGGAGTGAAGATTGATTTCTTTGTTAGGTACAAGAAGGCCAGTTGAAAGATGGATATCCTGACTTTGGTGCAGCGAGGAGCGGGACACTGTTGAATGTGAGGAGGTGGTGATGCGAGAGGCTGCGAAACGAGAGCTCGTTCTCAGCCTACACGGCATTCAAAAACCGACCTGTGCATTCATGATCTCTGTCAAACCTTTATTTTGTGCCCATCGACGAACAGCGAGTCGCGCACATACCTGGCTCGCAACCTATTCATCAGTTTTGCCGCCTTTCCCATGTACGCCGGCTCCTATGGCCGAGTGGTACGCCACGGAGTCATAGTGAGCCGATCATCGTGGGTTCAATCCCTCCAGTAGACCCATGGTGCAGGTTTCTGGCGGAGGGTCTAGACTAGCTACCCTAAGGATCTCACTGACTGTCTGCAAAAAGATCTCACTGAACGCGCCGCGAGGACCAGCCGAGGAGTGGCACTGGGATGCGGAGGGTAGGTGCCGTGAAAGCGTGCAAAGGCTGGGGATACAGAGACACGCGGTCGGTCGATCCGTCCGTCTGTTCGTCGAAGCTCTCCCACTTGAGATGAAGCTACTCACCAGATGTGTCGACACCTGCACATTCCAGCCCGTCAGGCAGCTGGGGGAAGACGCCAAAGTGGCCGTGGAACGGTTGAGCAAAAAGCGTCCACACAGACGGGATGCGAACGAAGAAGAGCGACGCCGAAAGAACAAGACCTTCGAGAGCCCCTCGATGTGAGATAAATGCACTTGAGCAACGACCTGACAGCAACGACAAAAGCAAGGCCAACCAATTGGATGCCTCAAGGCGAAGTGATGAGCCACAGCTGTCCATCGATGCCATTAGGGGAGACGTAACTGCTCTGAAGGAACAGATAGGCGCCATGAACAAGCAAGAAAAAGACAAGGCCTGCAGCACTAGCAAACAGGGACAGCAGGCAATGGAAAGGACGACCCGCATTCCTAGGCAGGAACCATTTCTGTGACATAGCTCGACACAGATGGAGGGGTTGCAGGAGACGACCAGGCGGCGGGCTGCCTTGCCCAAGCCAGCCAACAGCCAGTGCGGAAGCTGAGAAAACGAACTCGTCCTTCCGGGCTCGAATCGATCAGTTGACGCCCTGTGCAGCACAGCCATGAATCCTGACTGAGGATTCCCTGTTACTCTATGGGGGAGCTTTTTCATCTATGGACATCTACTGCAATGCCAGGATCTGAGCTACCTATCACACGACACTGGCCGATCTAAGTTAACAACAACTCACCACTGGATACATCGCATGTGCGAACCCACCATGACCGAAAACATCGAAACAATTCTTTCCAAAGGCACTCGGTGTGGTGGCCGGTCGATGTGGAAGACGCACGAACAGCCAAGTCCTTTTCGGTCAAGGATCTGTCACGAGCCTCTCTTCCCCTACCGCCATTCCCGTACTTTTCCCATCACAGCCGCTCTTGTGCTGTCAATGGAAGCACTTCATCCTCATCCTCAGCCTCATGCTCGTCCAGTGGTGTCACAATCGTTACACACCTGGCTGACTTCCCGTGGTTCGGAGTGTGTCTGTGTCCATGGTTGCCGTGGCAGCATGAAAGGCCCATGGCTGTGATGGCCTGGTGTGAGAGATAATTAGACGACAGCAGGCAGACCGATCCCATCAGCCCCACCACCATGAGGATGATGTCCAGTTGCTCCAAATACACCAGCCACCCCCACAGCGCCGACGCAACCGACGCCGGTGCACTAGTGGTCGAATCATCGGCCATTTGTCCGTCGGCTGTCAGGAGAGTCACGTTTCCCAAATGGGGGTGGGTGTGTCCGTGGCCGTGTGCGTGGGCCTCTTGTGTGAACAGGGATGTGGCTGATATACAGCAGCGCCACGCCGAATGCCCCAAGAGCGAACAACCGCAGAATGCGGTGTCGCGTGTAGTTCATCAGCACCGACAGCCCGCCGATAGGCAGCAGAACCCAAAAGACAGCCTAAACCACAGGGAAAGAGAAGAAGACTCCTCATGAAGAGTCGAATCTGTGGGTCCTTGATGCATACCACATCCACTGCCTGGTGTATCTGGTCGTTGGTGTGTTCGCCCACAACGCCGAGGAACGGTGCGATGGCCAGCAGTGGCGGGAGTATCACACACTCAATGGCGCAAAGCACCGACAGAACAGTCGTCGCAAGGATTGTGAACGACTGAATGCGCCGCAACAAAGGGGACAGAGGGGGTTTCAGGAACGCTGCCGACGATGACAGACTGACAGATGGCGAGTGACATCCACTGTGACTTTCTTCCCTCTGTGTGGACCTCACACACGAGTGCGCGACGTCATGATGTTTGTGGTTGCAGCTCATGTCGCTTTCGCAGTATGTAGCGATCGCGCGCCTGCGGGGGGTGGCACCTGGCAGAACCGGGGAGCAGCGCAGAAAGTATCAGAGAAAGGTTTGTCGGAAGCACACAAAGGTCCCCTTACCAATGTTTGTGCTTCCAATATCAATATTTAGTTGAGACGACGGTAGACGACAAGATAAGTTCGGACCGTTAACCATAAGTTCGGGCCGTTACATAGTCGGGGGAGTACGCGTGCACTAAATCGATCGATGGTACAACTGAGGGTGCGCAGAAACGGGCGCCTCATGACGGTCACACACATAGACTTATCTGTGTGATCCGGTCTGCGGGTCTTGACGCATTTGATGTGTTCCATACATTTTGCCTGCGCAGCCGCTTGACTCACTGTCCGACAGTTTACGACTGGCCGGCTAAAGCTCAGCTGAGCTTGATGAGTGAGCCCTCGGGAAGCCCTCCGTAAGGTCCCTGATTACACTCATCGCGTGCTGGCCTGCACGACCGGCGCCCGCTGTCCGTGGAGAGCCATAGATGTGTGGGCCGAGTGGGTAGAGGAGGGCTTCTGCATAGCGGTATCGACAGGTGAGTGCGCCTGTGACCTCGAAGATGAGTCGGTGTGATATGGTGTTGAGCTTCTCGACTGTGCTCAAAGGGCCATCGCCTACCAAAGCAAGTCAACCTGACTTCCTCTCTGCGTTTGTTATACGTATTGCGACCTTAGTGTCTCGCACTCATCATTCAGCAGGTCGCTGACGCGGTAAACCCGTCGGCCGCAAATCACACCGGGCACGTAGGTAGAAAACAAACACACGAGACATACGAGACATGAAAAGAGACCGGATGCATCGAGGCTCCACAACTTACCATGACATGTCTCTTGTGATCCACTGTTCGTTCGGCGATAGTCGTCCATGAATACTGCAATGTCCTCAAGCGGCGACATGCTGTTGCTCGTCGTTCATATCCTTGCACTTACCTTGAGGCCACTCGTCGCCATAGCGGTCGCACATGCTCAACTTTTCGTCCACATGGAGATGCTCTAATGTGTGACTCGCTGTAGGAGTTCCACGTGCTGACGCATCCTGTGTGTCATGCCCTCAATGATTGATTTCGGGCAGGACTCGATTCGAGCGACAACAGTGGCCTGCAAAAAAGCAACTTCGGTCACGGGGCTCCGCTCACTCAAGCGCTGTTCTTTTGTTTATTCGTCCGGGGCTCCTTACGTAGGTAACGAGAACCCTTCTGACCTGCCTCGCGGAGCTTCTGTCTGGAATCGTTTAGATAATGTAAAAGGATACAGTGCCGAACCCGCCGATTGGGCCATTGAGCATCACCACGAGAGGAGCATCCTCGAGAAAAAGAGGAACAACCACGCCGAGGTCAACTCTTTTTCTCTTATGGTGGGCGGTGAGGACATCGCGTCATCGCATTCCTCGGCCATGTTTGCGTGTATATCCTGGGCATAGGCCTGCCTCGGATTGTGTGTGTGTGTGTGTGTGAGACTCCCGTCTGCAGGTTACAAATCTACTGTGAATAGGGTTTGTCGGCGGGTAGAAGCATTCAATCACCATCAAGCCACCAGCTATCTTTCGTCAAGGGATTGGAATGATCCTAAGCCCGATGCTTCCTAAGTTCATCGCAAGTGATACTTTCACTGCCTTCACTACGACTCACTCCTGGGGCTTCAAGCTTCAGCCCGTCAGATGGCTGCAAGACAAAGCGGCTTCAGCCTGCCTTTCTCTGATGCCTTCTTTTCCAAAACACATTGTCGCTGTTTCATGTGTCTCGAACAGTGCGTTCCTTGCACGGCTTTGTCTGCACAACTGGCGATCGGCTCATTTCCTTGCCCTCTGCACCGAGAGCGATAGCCTGGAAGTACTGACACTTCTCGGCTCCATCAGGCACCTCAACCCAGTGCTCAAACTGTGTCTTCTCGACATCCACCAGCACCTCAGTGGGCGGCGACCTTTCACTCTCCCCCGTGACGATCCGCCACTTCTTCACTTCCGTGGCGCCGTTCCAGCTGAAGTGAAGCCGAAGGGCCTTCGCTGGGTTGTTATCATCCAAGAGGGCTTTGGGTGGCCAAGTGGGGGTCCCGATCCAGGGAGCCTTGACGGTGCGGTACGTAAATGTGTGAGGAGTTGTCCACTCCATCCGGATTAACTCTTCCCCGTCGATTGTTACCTCCATGTAGAACGGAATCCCTACTGTTCCGTTCTTGTTTTTTCTCAGACCCAGACAATACACACCGTTGCCGTTAGCCATCCGCCTGTAGCTGCCCATCGCGAAAGAGCGGATGCCGGTATCATATGCATTCACCAACCGTGCCTTGGTTGGACAACCGTCGGAATCGAACGACAATTGGTATTGGAGACCTCGAGCACTTCCGGAGCTCTTGTCATTCCTCACCGAGTTATCAAACATAGTAATCTGAGATTCCTCGATCTCTCTCACGTCATGTTGCCCCACGAACTGGCCTCTATTGTCGTTGATGATCCTGAAACGAAACTCGGACTCGGATATCGGCACTTTGTGTCAATCACTTGCCATTACCTGAAGTCGCCACCCTTCCCTCCGAGACGCCACAGGACCTCTCCGGTATCTCTGTAGTGCACACGGAAATACACGAGTGATTATCCGGACGGCCTAGCTTTTTACACCTATGGATTTTTGCGACTTGGTTCATTCTCCTCATCCTGGAAAGACAGACACACACACACACACACATCTGCGCTATACCGATTGGGACCAAGCAAGACACAATTGCCGGTTACGAAAGGAGAATGCTGCCATTCTCAGCCTCTCCAAGTGCTATCGAATGCAAAGAATTCCAGCATTCGAAGTGATGTGCGTGCAAAAGATCTCGAGTCGCTCACAATTTGAGTGGAAAAGGTCCCACATCTCGTTAACAATAAGCATGTTTGTCTCCCAAAAAGCTAGGGGCAAATGATCCCATGACCGCCACTCCATTACCACATCACCTGCAGGTGAAGAAACGTTCAAACCACTTTTACTCAATATGTTTGCGCGCGCACCTTCTGGCGTCACCTCTTGTATGATTGTCCCAATGGCACCTCTCGCGTCAGCACCGAGGCGCAGGTTCTTGGTATTCAACAATTGGAAATCCCATCTGCAACGGGGACAATATGAAATGTACAGATTATCTATTTGTCTTACACAAGCATCAGCGCCGTTCCTTCTTTAGTCGCATGGAATTCATGCCAATTCTTCCCTGTCATCCAATGAGATCCGAGTTCGGAAGCGCCAAGTGTTTTCAGGCGTTGCTTACTGAAGCCGTGTTTCGGGGAGTAGGTATGTCGCACCTCGTAGTCGGGACCGACAATCCTGCCTCCCCCCCTGTACAGCTGTCCTCTATGTGTAGGTGCGAAAGCGGCAGAACCGCCGCCCGCAAACTCATGATACACAGGGTCGCCCTGTCAAGGGGCACTTTTGCCGACGAATCGTTTATATCCTTGATATGTACCTGCGATGTCATTATGATGCTCGCCGTGCTCCAAACTGTGGTGAACACGTAGCCGGGCGCCAGTTTCTTCAGTTCGCCGGTTGTCACCTTCGCGCGGGGGTACGCAGATGGGAGGGTCCTGTACATATACACAAAGAGGTAGACTCTCCCTAACGCTTCACTGTGTGCACACATCATGGCTGCGTTTGCGTCCTCGCCTGTATGCGCAGTTCGGGGCGAAGTACTCGCTTTGCTTCGATGAAGAGTTTTTTCCATAACAATCGATTTCGTCTGCGTCGTTTACATCAGCAACATCAGCAAGGGAACCGTGAAAGGGGCTGATGCCCAGCAGGAGAAGGGCATCTTGAGCCTTGTCAAATAGGCGTATGGTTTCGTCTGATGAAGTGTCGTTGGTGGCGTTCCCGGGCCTCCGGCTCTTTACTGCTCTGTTGCTCCATGAGACCTTGAAACGCCACTGCGATTCGGAGAGGGACGCATGGGTTTCATTGGTTTTTATCCCCTTCGCCACTTTTACGCTCACAGTTTCCCCAGGCTCGAAGGCCGCGTCAGGTACGAAATAGATCGTTCTGTTGTCACTCAGTAGCCGCGTGTTTCCATCGTGGTCGCCCGACACGTCACCGCGGACGCTGATCTTTCCTCTAATGCTGTCTCTGTCCACCTTTTCTTTCGGCCTGAAGGCGATGGTTGTCAAAGGGGAGACGAGAATGGCTCCAGGCAGCGGATGGGCATAAACGAAGGGAGTCTCCTTCCGCAAAGCCTGCAGGCCGATAGAGGGCTCGGGGGGTTTCAGCAGGTCGCCCTCATCTCTGAGTTTCTCCTGATCTCTTTTGGGGTTCAAAGCCATTGCTTCCAGTTGACCTAGAAGCTGGTCAGTGTTACGTTCTGTCGCTTGCTCGTCAGTGAGGGCGACCCCCTGACGCCCCACCACAAAGAAGATACACAGGACAACGAGAACGCTGGGCGACATAGTTATGCTATACAGATATACAACTTTACGAGGGGTGATATTGTAGGAACACCCATTAATGCAGACCACTGCTTTTAGCGCTAAAATGACCACTGCTTCTCGCGAGGAATTTCCCCGCAGCGTGGGCTCGACCACCTTCGCATCCTCACTGCCATCCGAAAACTGGGCGTTCGCGACTAGGTGTGTCCGGGATTCGCTGAAGATGGTGGTGCGATACCACCGAGGAGTACGTGAAGAGGGAGAAGTACTTCAAGCGTTTCTGCGCTGGAGAATGGCAAGGACTGCTCGACGGGTCCAGGAATTTTACTCAGGTCGCCATGTTTTCGCTCCGCGTGGCGATGGACCTCGAGGACGAAGTTGAGCGGCAGGGAGATTGATTCGTGAAACAAGGAGAGCTGTCGCGTCCGCCAAGGTCGCTCCCAGCGTCGCCTGCGACGCTCCAGCAGCTCAAAGGTCCATCCGGGCTTGGGACCTACAAAGCCGCAGCCCAGAACGGCCCGGACGGACCGCGCCTGCCTTTCTCGGTCCCTGCTGGCTGCCCTCAAGACGGCGCCGCGGGGTTCCGCAGCTGGCCCTACGGTTGGCGATATGAACATCTTCGTGCCTGCATGGGGGAGGATGATGCCACGGTACAAGACAGGACCGTCCCTCTGCCTTCCCTGGAAACATGCCGGAAAGTTGCACTGCGACTGATGAAAGACAACGGTGGGGTCCGGCCGATTGCTGTGGCTGATGTGCTTTGGATATCGGCGCGGCCTGCGCCGATGTAGGCGCCGATATAGGCGCGGATTCGCCGATGTAGACGCAGCCGCGCCGATGTAGGCGCGCCTATGTGGGCGACTATGTAGGGAGGAGTCTCAATCCTCATTCTATCCCTCAGCGCGCAATTGCACCTCTCGGCCGTGCCTGCCTGCCTTTCGGCTTCGTCTGTAAAACAGATAGAAAAAACCAGCTTCAGTTCAATCGAGGCCTGATTGAGTTGTCCAAGATCGCATCATTCTCACCTGATTCGACGACTTCCAATTCGCAATTCCGAGAGAAATGAGCGTTCCTTACCTTCGTTTTCCTTTCTGTGGCCTTCCTGGTCATTCCCTCTGCTTATCATCACGATCGGTGGCCATCCCGGTCATCTCCACTGAGAACTGAGAGTGTTTCTCTCTCCGACCTTCCTGACCTTCATCACTTGCGTCATACCGAGTTACTTTCCCTGGCGACGAGTCGATTCTGCGTGGCTGCTGACGCGCCTCACTACTACTGTGACTGACATCATGTGCGACACTGTGCGTGTTTGTGTGCGTGTGTCACCCCGTGCAAGCCTCCTCCCTTGGATTCGAAGTTTTTTAAAATTGCTCCCTTTCTTTAAATTTTATTTGCGAATTTTTAAATTACTCCTTCGATTTTTTGAGGGGTTTGGGACGTTTTAAAAAATGCGCGATCAGCGGAGGAGGCTTGCACGGGGTGGCGTGTGTGCGCGTGGTGCGTGTGGACAGACATTCGTGTATTACTCAAGTGAAAGCTGTTCCTCTTCTTTGTGTCTCCAAATCGTCGACCAACCAGCAATTTTTTATTAAGCGTAACACTCGTCTGTGTGTCCGTGATACTCATACAAATACGGTCCCATGAGACACAGCTCGTCTCATTCAACACAAAGACAACCCATACACAGTCGAGCATACGTTTGTTATGCATCTCCTTCCGCTTTCGGGTACATTACTTTATCATTCACTGTCAAACGTACACAAAAGCACGAAGCTTCTTGATGCATTGCCGTGTCCATAGTATGTAGAAGCAACACGTCACGGCCACTGATTGCCTTCCTCTGTGATCAAACGTTTTCCGTTGTTCGGGGCATTATTGAGTACCTATACCAGACGTCAAATCTACTGCTTGGAGCCCTTTTTTTCCCCTCTCCGGTTGGGGCTCCAGGAGTGCCCTGAATGTCACCTATCAAGGTTTACAACAACAACACACAAGAGCAACAACAACAACAACCAAACAAAAAAAAGGGGAGGAAGGGAGAGAGGGCAGAATACATAAGCTGAAACGGCGCAATGTGCATGGTCTCGGTGAAAGGTTGGCGATGCTATTCTGTCAACCTGCGGAGACTGTACATGCAAGGATAGCGGCGACATGCACGAGCCAACACGCGGACATGATGCGAGCACACGTCGCGGCGACCATTCCTGGTAGCCGCCCCTCGAGAGCCCCCTCTCGAACCCCGCATTCTTGATCTTTTCGGTACAGCGATTCCAGCCATCCCCGTCCCTTTGCAATTCGTCTGACGATCGTGGACGGTGGACGTGCCTACTTGATTGTTCAAGGGGGAAGCCAAACCAACCAATCAAGACGTCAAGACGTGCCGAGGAGCAGACAGGGAGAGCTTTGTCGTGCATTGCGGCATCAATTAGCTGTCGCGACTGTGTGCGTCAGTCATGTCAGAGCCTTCCGTTGTCGACGGATGTGATTCAGTCCTGTGTGTGACTTCGTTGTCGTTGCATCGTGAGTGTCTCCATCCTAGTATCAATCAATAAGCACCAGTAGAGCACCGAGTAGCTTTTTCTTTCGTGAGCACCCTGGTGGAAGTAAAACAACCACAACAAAGCACGACAATACTACGGGTTTTTTTTTAACACGAACAGCGCTCATCCACCGCCGCAAGCAATGAGGGACATGCACACGAGGCACGTGGCTTGCGGTCACAATATCCTGCACGAGACACGTGTCACATGGTCTGTATCGGCTCATGGTGGAAGGACAGCTGAGGGAGAGTGCGAAAGGCTCAGTCTGCAGCATGAACCCTGAAAATCCGGCACAACCAAATAGAGTAAAAGCAACCCACGCAAAGAAGACAGCAAACAAGCGAAGGAGTGAAGAAGGAAGACTCAACAAGCGCCATCGGCATCGGCCAAAGCGGCACATGCTCTCGAAGGAAGCAGGAAGAGATGCAGCGGCTGCTCGAGCGGATGGAGGCCGCAGAGAAGGCGAGGATCCTGTGAGGCCATGGGTGCCGGCCAACAAGAACGCGCGGGAGTAGGTTGGTACAGGGGCATCAGTAGAGATGGCTTCTGGAACAGCGACATATCTGAAACAGCCAACAGACACACACACACACACACACGCCGACTGACCCGTGAAACTCACTGCGACGCTAAACACACATACATATTCTGGAATACACAGCATTTTTTCAAATGGACATGTCCCAGAATGGAACACGTGGGAAGAAGAGAGAGCTCTTTACACACATCATGGAGAGAGGGGCCATTGCCGGTAGTTTCGTGGAGAGTCTTCACACGATACTGCGGTGGTTGGTCGTTAGCTCGAAAACAGGAGAACACAATAGGCACGTAGCAGGGTCTCTATCAAGAAGGATTTTACGATACAAACATGTGATCATAAGCCTATACGAATAATGGAATTCTCGACGATCAAACTGATAGTGTGGACAGTGACTCCCCTTAGAGCAGTGGAGGACTACGTCTCAGGATGGGATGCGGAGTTGATTCAGCCTTCGTCGGCGCAAAGCTGGTAGTGCCGAGCCCTTGAGTGTCCGCCAGTGCTCCCTATATAAGGCAGGATACCAACGCCAGTAGAATCCCTCCGCTCGCCATCAAGGTCCAAGGGGCGGTGGAACGTTCGCAAGCTCTCTTCAGTTCCTCGCATAGCGTAGCCTCCACTGATAAGCTGCGATCTGGCCATCTGACATGACAAACTCAAGCTCTTCTTCTTGCTCCTGCCGTCCTGGGTCGCCCTTTCAGATGGATCGGGCATGGGCAGGTCGAAGTCCCGGTCCTTCTGTTTTCTCTTCGACTGGGTGCGATTGCTCGGCGTGCAAACTACATTGTAGTAGTCATGGTCGACCTGTCGCGTCTTCCAAGGTCGCATACTGCTGCCCATCAGACAAGCACCAGAGGTGAATGGCTGATGCAACTCTTGGTTCCAGGGCCATTGGGTCTTTTGCTGATACGAAAGCGCCGCGCTGGACGTATCCATTGCCACAGGTTTTGTCGCAACATGAGAATTGATTGGATACTCGCCGCCTCGAGATGCAAGAGACATCCTGGAAGGAACAAATGTGTAGACAAGAGCAGCGTGAAGGACAAACCCCATCCTCGTACTCCTTTTCACCTGTCAAGTCGAATTGTAAACCCTCCACCGATCCCCCCGTCTATTTCTTGCCCCCTGCAGGGACTTTCTACCCTTACGTAATGCGGAGGGGGAGGTGACGCCGCGCCGTGAGCGGCGGGAGGAACATGACGGTTGTTGGCAATGCGACGAGGAGGCGTTTCGCCTGGGGAGCGATAGGACGGATTCTTGCGAGTACTGGAGCGCCGCTGGTCATACGACGACGGAGCCACAGCCTCCATACGCTGTTTATGTGCAAAAACAGTAGATACCGTTTATGACGCCACTGTCGTCTCTGGCCTACGTTGCCGTTGGCGTTAGCGGGGAGGTGGTCCTCCCTTCCATTCCTCAGATGCGGACGTCGACGGTTGCTACTTCCTCCTCCTGGTCCCGCTGACGGGGGACTTGGGCTTCTGAAAGCCAGACGCAGGCGAAAACCCGAAAGACGTCTTCGTGTCTCATGCGCTCCTGAGTTCCTGCTCGCCTTTGTTCAGGTGTTGGTGGGACATGGCAATGCGCACCACGATTAAGGACAGTCGGTGAGCGCTGGTGGTAGCCGTGTGTGGGAGTCGCATGTAGGCTTTCAAAGCTGGGTCCGAGTGGCGGTTGGGCTGGGGACTGGCACAGTGTTTGGGACAGCACGGGCGACACCCTTGGAGGGCTTGCGCGGAAGGCGCCACAACCGCCAGATTGATGTGGCTATATGCGATAGGCAAGGCCTTGACAGTCGAATGTACAGTTGTGTCCTTGTGTGTGAAGAACCAACCTGTCTGGTCCCGGTCGTGGCCTTGGCCGATGCTGCGGACACCGTGCGACTTCGCGATTCTGAAAGGCGACAAATTACAACTTGGCAGAAGTGAGGGCCAGTCATTGTCCTGCACCATCCAAAAGGCTGTCACACATGACAGATTTGAACCAGGGATCTTTGAGAGCCTGCTGAGCTGCACAAGATCTTACATTCAGGCAAAGAAAGTGAGAGTGCATCCGCGGTCGCTTCCTCACCAGGGAGTCTCTGCGAGGGGTCCATGGCAAGCATCCGCTTCATAAATGATAGGGCCTCAGCAGACGCTTTACCGCGATACCTTACACCAAAGCACCGACAGGCAAGTGACACTGCACTGGTTTTCTGGTCACAGTGCAACCCTCGCATACAGCGAACCGGCCACACCTCTTCTCAAGGGTCTCTGGGCCGCCAAGATCGGGAAACTGCATCCCAAAGAATCTTGGGTTTCGCTTGAAGCGGTCTTGCTGTGCCGGAGTCAGCGTCCCCATAACCTGAAAGAAAATGTGACTCAGTTCATGTCGCATTTGCAGATGTCTATACCTTTTGTATGATGAAAAGCTGATCCATCTCAGATTCACCCGGGAAGAGAGGGTTACCATCTATCAGTTCTCCCGTGATGCAACCTGAAATGGCATCAGTGGAAAACCGACCATGGTCGCCGACGTGTCCCCTCTTATTCTTCGCCTACCCACCGATGGCCCACAGATCGACCTCCTTTCCGTAGGTGGTGTCACCCAGCAAGAGCTCCGGGGCGCGGTACCTGGACAAAAGACGACTCATGGTGATTCTTTTCAGATACCGAAGAGGCCTACTGACCATCTTGTAGCGACATAGTCGGTCAGTGGTCCTGGCTTGAGGGGCATCTGACGAGCGAAACCGAAGTCGCAGAGCTTCAGCGTCAATGTGGAGCTACAAAGCAGTCAAAACGACAGAAGCACAAATGGGCACGCACTTGAGCGTATTCTGAGCCTACGGGTCGACGAGCAGGTTTTCGGGCTTGATATCGCGGTGAATGGTGTTGTGCTGATGGCAATATGCGATGGCATTGAGTAGCTGCCAAATGCAGTACTTCACCTTCTCCAGCTACATCAAACACAGCACACTCCGCTGGCTGCCTTCACTTCCCTCTTACCTCAAGCCCCTCCGGGTGCATTTCTAGGAACTCCAGCAGGTTCTTCTCGACGTACTCAAAGACAAGATAGAGTTTTCCCTTCCTTGAAGGGAGAGAGACGTAGAAGACCATCTGTAGTGCCAGAATCCTTTTACCGCCAACCTGCGGAAAGCTTCCTTTAGCTCAACGATGTTCTCCTGCCGAAGCATCCGGAGAATCTTGACCTCGCGAATCGTTGTCTTCTTCACCACATCGTCCTCTGCACAACATGGACACCTTTCAACCCCTTACACAAACAATATCATCACCACCTTCGCTCTCCTTGAACTTTTTAATTGCCACGACCTCTTGCGTTTCCTGCACACATGTCGCCACGTCGAGAAGGCCACACACTTATCAAACTTAGCGAAAGCCATTACCTTGTTTCGGCATCGCAACACAACCCCATATGCCCCCTCACCAACAACTCCCAATACTTCATACTTATTCATCACCCCGAGGAGATTGGGGAAGGGGGCTCCCTTGGGGCGCAACACATGTGTGTTAAACTGCCGTCCCTAAACACAATACACTTTCTCAGGCCCGGTTGCAATATCCATAAGAAGAAGGGGTCAACCAACCAACACGATACCACAAAACCTGGTGCTCCTCGAGAAGAAAATGAAGCGGGCGGGTGAGGACTTCGGGGGCTTCCCGTCGGAGGAGACCATGACTGAACTGGAAAACAGTGAGCAGATCTAGCCCTGCGCCATCTCGAATCTGCATATGCCTTTTCTGTGTTGTGCCTCGCCTGTGTCTGTCAGTCCAGAAGGAGCTGTTCAAGCTGGTAGGTGTCAGACAGCCATCAGCCAGGCCCCATTTCATGACTTTATTGCTGCCCTGCTCAGCTATGCTGGTCATCGCACTCTCATTTCCAATGCGGGCCCCATTAGTGACGCTGTTTTGCGTGATCTTCATGTCGGCCTCACCAAGGCATACTACTCTGACACACTGGTCGCACGATGGGATTCGTCTATTCGCGCTAATCATGCCGTCTTGCGTGAAGCGCCATCTCTTCCTCCACCCCTCTCCCTTGCTCCACTGCCTCTGTGTCTGTTGCCGTGGCGGGGTTACACTAGGGCTACTGCTCGCAGTCGTGTTCTCTTCCTTGCACGACAATGCCTTTTCACTGCCTCAGCCTTCTTCAATCATCACTTCCCTCACACATTCCCGGTGGTTCGCCGGGTTTTTGCCTCTCGTAATCAGCGTTGCTCCCTTGATCGAAATTGTCTTGTCTATCTGCCTACATATGTGCCTGCATTCCTTCGTAATTTCATTCTTGAATCTGGTCAGGATTGGCTTCATCGTCTTATCCACCCCCTGTCCACCTTCCCGTGTTATTTTTCTCTACCCTCTGCTGAGCGCCGTGTGTTGTTTTCATTCCGCACCGGCACCTATACTTGTGCTGTCACAGATGGCCGGCTGACTCATCGGCCTCGTCTTCTACGCTTCTGCCCATTCTGCGCTGCTACTTGTCCTCCCTCCAGCTGGCCCATGCCGGGGCTTGTGCCACCTGTTGAGGATGAGCTGCATGTGCTTTTCTATTGCCCGCTCTATAGCTCTCCACGTAGGGAGGTCTTCCGTGTTGTTCGCATGTATGGTCTGACTGCACCGGATGGTGTGGTGTATTTTTGGTGGGATCTTGCTCATTGTGATGCCCTGGTGTTCGCATGGTCATTGCTTACTTCGCGCTCTCTCCCTGTGCAACGTGCGTTGGCTCAGTTTCTTCTGATGGCCGTGGCTTCTCGCAAGCGATGGCTTTCTTTGCACCCATCAGCTTAGTTTCCTTGATATGACAAACGCTTTTATGGACAGAGCATCTGCCCTCAGGGGCCGGGACCTCGGTGTCCGTTAACGAACGAACGAACGAACGAACGAACGATGACTGCCAGTGATCGTGCGAGCTTGGACTCGGGACTTGGTTGTGATGCGCATTCATATCCTTTCGGGTCGAGTATAAGCTTGGACTCGGGACTTGGTTGTGATGCGCATTCATATCCTTTCGGGTCGATATAGAGTAGGATATGAATGCGCATCACAACCAAGCCCGAGTCCAAGCTCGCACGATCACTGGCAGTCACGAAATGGGGCCTGGCTGATGGCTGTCTGACAGTAGGAACGACCGACACTCAGAGGATCACATGCATCTGATGGTTCGTGCCCTCCTCCAGGACGACGAGTGTGCCAAGGAGCAGATGGAAGTCCAGAAGAAATACGGTACGGTACGTGCACGACCCTCCGCTTTAGCCAATCCACGTGTGTCTTGGTATGGTTGCGTACACACCCCCCTGTCAGACAAACAGAAGAAGCCTGCAGTCGCGGTTTATCACCTCAATCACTTGCCCTGAATGAATGCCTCAGGGCAGGTACAGAGAAGCGATGCATGCAGACATATGACATTGAGCTCCTGTGTGTACCGAGGCACAGGCTTCATGTAGGCAAACGTGAGCGCCCATCATGAGCAAGGTTGTCTTGGTCGTCGTCTTTGCCATCGAGTGTCGCGCCCACTGATTATTCGCAGCAGATCCCTTACATATCGCCCCGCCAGTTTGAAGGTCTTTCGTCGTCCAGGACCAGCGTGAAGAGTGTGTCGATGTACTCGGCGACATACAAACGGTCCCCGAGCCCCCTCTCACCAAGCGAGCGTCAGCAAAGCGTGGGTCCAGCGCAAATGTGTTTGCTTTGTACAGATCAGTTGTGAGTTACTGTTCATAGGGACAGAACTTTAAGAGATGTCGGCGCTCCTCTCGCTTTGCTTGTGTCGCACCAGCAGCGGTGGGACATTGGCGGTGTAGCATGTACCTCTCTCGAAAACTGGAGAGATTTTGAACATTCATTATGGCGCCTTTCATATTGTTCTTGAACTTCTTTTTTTCCCCTTTATTGTCGCCTGTCCCCCCATCCCTGTCTGTCTGTCCCCCTGCATGCCTCTCTTTATGCCTCACGTTCTATCGCCTATCACGCTCTATGTCTCCTTCCTTTCTCTGGTGTCGCCACGCAAGTGGAGAGTCTTTTCAACAGTTACCACGCTCATGTAAGGATACAAACCTTTCTGTACGCAATGAACGAGAGTGCTCCGGTCCTTCTGCTTGCCCGAAAGCGACGTTTTTCGCCAACTTTCCAACGGAAGGCTGGCTTTCCGCCTGGAAAGCTGGCCTTCTGCACTGCAAAGCTGGCATTCCGTGGCGCTGGCTGGCTTTCTGAGTGTCTGTCCAGCTTTCTGAATGGAGGGCAGCTTTTGGCCGGGTAGTGGAGATCTGCAGATCTAGAGTCATACATGTATGACGCAGTTAAGTAGATACATGAACGGGCGACGAAGTTCGTCTAAGCATCAGTTCGCATCAAGCAAGCCGAGGGGAACAATACATGCAAAGACACTGGACAACGCTCGTTGACTGTAAAGAAATGCATGTCGCACGCTGCTAACAAGCGCGAGACACGCAACACGAGATACACATTCGCAAAATCCAGATGCAGCCAGCCACCTCACAGCCCCGGAGCGGGGCTGGTGTGTGGCCTGTATGGCCCGCGGCTGACGAAGTCCTCGG